AAAAACGTCAAAGAAATAAATATTATTACAATAAATATTATTTTCATAAATTCATTAAAATATATTGCTTATATTATTTAAAAAAAACAATAATTTTAGTCTGTTTTACCTTGAGGATGTTGGTTACAGTTGTATCTTCTATTTTTTTTTTTTTTTTTCAAATAAAAAAAATGAAATTTGTATCTTGCTCTAAGCAAAAATGTAGCAAAATATCAACTGCGTTTGAAATTTCTTTAATCTTCTTCAACAAACAATTCTTCGTTTGGATCGTTACTTGTTTTTTGTTGACTTTAAAAACAAATTTTTTAGAAAAAAATTTTGTGCGTGAAGTTTTTTCATATTACATGACCACGGGTAGATGGCATATACAGTGAATCAATTAAGTAATTTGCCTATGTAAAATTTTATAAATTTTAACAAAAAACTTTATCTGAACAATTATTTTTAGCAAAATAAATCAATTTGCTTGTTGTATTTTTTAAAGAATATCTTATATTTTAATTTTCTACCATAAAAAGTAAAATCGTTATATTAATTAACGAGATTTTTGATAAAATGTGAACGTATTGTTAATTTTTAAGGTCAATAAACTATTTTGCTTTTTTAGGTTTTTTGTTCATTTTTTTAATATTTCTGCATTATTTTATAAAATTTAATATTTTTATTACTCCTATATATTGGAATAACATTTTTTAGATATTTTAGTAGTGGAACGACTAAGTTTGGACATTTCTTAACCGATTTATTATCCTATATACCTATAAGAATTTTTCAATATCTGACTTAACATGAAATCTATCGTTTCTTTGATTTAATTTTGAAAATAATAAGTAATTTTGAATTGGATACATGATATATTAGGAAATCAATGGATTTGGACCTAGAAAAAAATATTAGTGGGGTATAAATCCATAGATTATAACAAAAATAATCTGGGTTTTTGGTCATTTTGTATTGATAAACAAAAACTACATTACGGAAACCCCATCTATTTGGGGAGTACTGTGTGAATTTTATTTAGAATTGTATAATTTTGATTCTTATTCAATAAAGCTAACACAAAATACCATCCTAGCCACTCTAAGTATGGGGATATCACCGTATACCACTATAGAACTATTACATGCTAGAATTTTGATATTCTACCTCATATTTTGAATGCATTATTTTATGAATAAAATACAGTAGGCGTAGTTGGATTTGAATAGTTATTCTTGATTTGGGTTCTAACTATATATAAGTGTATGTATAAGCTAAAAAATATTGCTTTTGTGGATCTTAGGTGATGAGAAGCGCCTCTATTTGTAAATAACTTAATTAAGTATTTTTCCCGTACCACACGAAAGTTCACTTTATATTGTTTCCAAGCAACCTAAGGTCTGTTTAGAGGTCTAAATTTAAACATAGTGTTCTTTTAAGTTCGTATACGGACTTTGAAGAAGATAAATGAGGACTTCAATGGTTTTTGCTTGGATACAAGTCGCTCTCTTTTGGCAGTTAAGGTTTTGAAAGACAACTCAGTGCGTTTTTTTAATAATTCTTTGTGTTAATTCATCAATTTCTATATTTTATATTTTTTAATGATTGATTAAACATCTCATAATTGAATTCCATTGATTTATACTTGCTCTAAAAATCTAAACTAATTTTTTATATTTGAATTGCCTCATTATTTCCCTTTAAACATTTTTAACGCAAATAACTACACAGTTTCACACAATAATGATATGATTTTTGAAAATTACGATTGAAAAATACTTAACACGTGTCCTTTTAACAATAAAACAATAAATTTCAAAAAGCAATTAAAAAATAATTTGAAAAACCCAACGAAATTAACTGGAAATTTCAATATGCAAAATACTTTATTGACGTGCAAATTCTGATGAAAAATAATAAAATGCAACAACAAATACACCAAAATTTTTATTTTAATATTTTTTTCTTGGTTTTCCCATTCTACACAATCTCTACTTTCAATTGGAAAACATTTTACCTGTTTTTTTGAATTTTATTTATGAACAAGAAACAAAATTCTCTTAAAAAAAGGTAGGCAAAAATCTTAGTTGATTCACTGTATGTGAAAAGTGCTTATATCATAAATGGACTATAAAGTAATCTTTTTATATTAAATTTATCGACAGAGACATTTAAATCTAATAAAATTGATAATATAACTAATGTGACTATAACAGTGATGACTATAAACGAAAACTACTGTATATTAAATGTCTAAAAATATTTAGAACGGTTTTGATAAAAGTGGAAGGTGTTTAAGATTCGGCATAGACGAATATAACACTCAAACTTGTTACTATTAAGCTTGTCTTAATTTAAAATTGATAAATACACGTTAAAAATAGAGTATAAAATCAGCTGAGATGTCCCACTTTAAATTTGTATGCTTCACACATATTTTTAACAAAAGTTTTACTGATTCTATAAAACTACAATTTGAAAAAAATACGTATGCACTCACAACACTTTTAAGAAATCGCAAATTTTATTTCTCATTCTACAAACTATTACAGGTTGATTACAATTGGAACCGCTGTCGACAAACTATCGTATTCATGAATACGATTTTCGTTAAATTGTTAAATATATTAAACTACCTTCAATAAACTATTGACAAATATAAGACAAATAATTTTATTCTTTAAGCCAATAATAAGTAAATGTTTAACAAAATTTTTCTCAGATAAAAGCTAAACCTTTTTCTTTAATTCTAGGCTTAGGTTAGCTTTATCTTTAATTTTAGATTGATAACGAATACTAATACTACTAAAATTCAAATTTTTATGTTTGAGTCAAACAATTTGATGTGTCGCCAAGGCGCTTACGGTTTATTGTAGAAATTTTGTATGGAAAATGTGCGAAATAAACCTAAAATAAACGATTAATATCTTTATGAATACGGGGGTAAATGTTATATGGATTCATTTTGATACATTCCAAAACTTATTTCATTGTTATATGTATATGCTGACATAAAAACAAAACTCAAACAAAATAATTTATTGAATGAAATAAAATAAAATAAAAAAAAATGAAATAAAAAAAAATTTTGTTAAAGCTAGATTATTATCAAACTAAAATATCTTACAAGATTCTGAAATAAAATATATAATCAGATAAAATTTAAAGGAAGCGATTTGTAGCCTTGTGATGACGCCTAAAATATACAAACCCAAAATTTAAATTCTTTGACATGTGAACACTATCTAACCATTCACTTACATATACAGTATAGTCTAATAATGAGGTGTCGCAAATAAAATCTATAAATGAATATACCACCATTGACTCGTATACGAAACATAAAATACTTGTGGTAAATGTGTCAAAATTTGTTTTGTAAACATTCAAGTCTAAACCAACTTTGGTTTGTTGTTTTGAAAAGTAAATTATCAAACGAAGCATTAAACTTTTTATTTATCTTACTCTGTGTGTAAGTGTGTATATGATATTTGCATGTAATTTGTATGTTTATGAATTACAACCCCCACCCTACCCCATCATCACTCACCGGAGGTTATAAGATACAGTAACAATTTTTAGCAGTTTATTTCAGTATTTAGTTAAACTGGAATTTTTAATCCGTATAATTCCTCATTTTAGAAATAAACAGAAAATATTTAAAAAATACACATGTTTCAGCAAACACTCACACAAAACAAATTATTCATTAGGGTGTATTTTTTTTTCTTTTCTTGTGTTAAATTTATCATTTTGGGAATTCTTGATGGTAACACTTTTTTATTCTCATGGATTGGTAATAAAATTGTTTAATTTTTGGGAATCACCTGCATATTCCTTACCGTGTTTTATTGATATTTTTTAAATCTTAAAAGTTTACTGGAAAACAATAAAAAAACAATTGTCTTCAATTTACATTTCGTATAATAACATCAATTGAGAAATTGCTGAATATTACGGGAAAGTATTCAAAAAAGTTATTTCTCGCATAAGACAATATTGGATATTGATACCCATTAAAAAAACATAAACAAATGAACTCATGGTCGACAATTTTTTGCTCCGAAATAATAAGAGTAAATGAAACTCCCTAATGTTCACATATTGAAAAATATTCTTTACCACGAACTGCTTTATAACCCAATTGTGGTAAGCCGCTATTTAATTTGATTCACTCTCTATTGGTTCATTCATCCATCCATCCATTCGTTGTCTGTCTGTCGGTTTCCTTTTATTTTAGATTGTATGTTATGCTGCTTTCGTTGTGTTGTTATTTTGATGTTACTGCAGTACATGTAGTTGTCGTTTTCATCCTACAGGCAACAAAATAAACACAAAAGTGTTTCAATGACAGATAAACAAACACACAACCGCACATCATAAAGGTGGATAAATAGATATGTACATAAATACATACATATTTACTAGATATCTAAATACAGATCTACATACCAAGATTAAGGATGATAATGTTACCGTAACCCTTAAATGCTTTAAATTCATATTTCTCATTCCACAACTAGATTATTGACTAAGTCTTAAAATATAACAAAAACATAAAAAGCTAACAATGTTTCAACCACCCCCTCCGTCCTAATTTTTACGATCCGAGCTAGGAGTATTACAAATGTATCGAATAAAATAACAATACCTTATACTTGAAGTCCAGGCAGATTTCATGGCAAATTTCGATTAAATTTAGATAGAAAACAACTATCTTTAAATTAAATTTTAACTTCCCAATATTCGTAATAAACATGACTTTTAGTTTTAACTTTAAACACTAAAACATCGCTCTCACACCGATAATAGTACAAATTTTTTATTATTCAATTCAAAAAAGCCGTATTTTGAATTATGCTAGTCTTGTAGTAAATGAGCGATATATATATATATAAGTTTAGTCCCTTAGCCCCATTTTTTTCGAAATATCTTTAATTAATACAATGTACTTTTTTAAAAATCCTAACACATTTTTATTTTCATTAAAAATATTATAAAATATGGAAAGTAATTCCTACCTTTTTTTAAGGTTATATCCTCTGTACCGGTTGTGGAGCACGTGTTATTATGTATTGATGTTGCACTCGGACTTAGATGTTGGCTGTGGAAACCTGCTGATGCAGGTGTATTAGATGCGTTATTCGCCGTTAAATTACTATTCGCATTTAAAGGTGGAGTGTACCATGACGATGACGGTGAGGAGTAGTGACGTGGTGGCCAAGCGTGATGATGGTGATGATGCGATGGTCCAGATTGGTGATGGCCTTGTAAATGCTGGTGATGATGATGTACGGTATGACCATTTAAGAGTCTAAGTTTTTCATAAACTATAGAATCTGTGGTTGAACAACTGATATCTAAGGCGATGTCTGTCGATATTGCTACAGGATTTGTAGTACTAGTTCCACTATCACTAGAATTTAGTGGTGTCGCCGTCTGTAGTTCATTTGTAGATGTTATTGAATTAGTCGTATTATTGTCTACTGGAGACGATGCTACTGATGTAGCATTGGTATGTTGCTGTTGTTGTTGTTGCTCTTTTTGTGCTGCTAAATTGCGCAAGACGCGGTTAATCGAAGATACCTGTAATTTATAAAAATTTAATTTAAATGTTTTACAAAAAAACAAAATTTTTGGTAATAAAATCTACTTTAAACAACGTCTTAGTTGTTTACAAAAAATTTAATACAAAATTATATCATTATAAAAATGCCGGCGGTCGAACAGATGACATTTAAAAAAAAAAAACTTTTATTTTTCATCCCTTATCAATCATCAATCATCGTAACGTATTTATATAACACATCATTTATAGTCTACTTATGTATGAGATTTGCTATTCAAGTAGCTGTTTATAATTTCAATTTATACAATTCCTTATGGAACACAACAAAGGTTGGCAGCTCTGACTTACTATGTTGTCTGCAAAAAAATTAATTGGTAAATTGGCTTGAAGATGTTTGAAATTGATGGTGTGATTTTTTAACAATTTATTAAGTAATGGTTTCAACGATTATACCATAAAATGGGGTTATTAATTAAATATTTAATAAAATTTTTTAAATATTTTACATACTTCAAATTTTTAAGTCCTGTAAAAGGGACACATGATCAGAAACTGAAATACTGAGTATCCAGTATAATCACATAAATATTATACAAATATACATATGGTTAATTTCTCATGCAAGGGGCTTATGTTTTAAAAAAAATTTTAACTCAAAACTTAGCTTTTTAAGTTAAATTATTTTTTTTATAGACATCCTACTCGCATCCCACTAAAGGAAATGGTCTAAGTTTTCTTTTGAACAAAACAACAAAAACTTTCATTTTGAAAAAAATAGGCGAAATTAAGTAGCACGTATTGAAAAACACTCTTATTCTTGAGTTAAAAAATGATTTTTTTGATAGATATCCCACTCGCATCCCATTATGGGACTATAAAGCCCTTAAAGGAAATTGTATAAGCTTTCATCTGAACAAAAAAATGGAATTGCCCATATGTATATGGTTTGCTTCATGTGTTTAAAAAAGGTGTAGTTCAGTGTTATTACTCTCTGATATGCAATTTGTGGATTTATAATGGAAAATATGCATTTTTGGGTTGTTTCCTAAATTTAGTTATCAACTAAAATAACAAAATAACAATAAATATCAAATATCGAATTTTATTTATCAAAGGTTACTTATAAATATTTAATAAATTTATTATTTTAAAAAGTGTTGTAAAATGAGAGTTAGGACTTTACTCTTTATGAATATAGGGCCTATATTATAGGCTCTCGACATGATTTCGCTACTTTAATAAATAGAGTCAAAAGTGTTTCAACGATATTCCGGAGGAAAATTTTTATTGGGATAAGGTGAAGTCATCGACTAATTTAAAATGCGTCCAAATAAATTTATATTCCCAATTTAAAATTTGTGTTTGCAAAATAATTAGTGACTGTTGATTTCACCTATTATTAAGGGTTCTATGACTAGTTATATTAACTTGGGCTTGTCCCTTCACATACAATCACACTTCCTTTCGATGACAAGTAGACAACTAACTCTACAATAGGGGTGCTTCCGTAGACTTGTTGCAAGTGTTGTAATCGATCAGTATGGAGGTCGTGGTTTCTATTCCCAAAAGAGACTCAGATAAAGGGCGCACAACAGAACCGATAGTGGTCTAGGTGTATTTATAACTCTACAATAGATTACTGCTGGTTGGTTAACTAACTATTTTTTAATGTATTCTCTCTATAAAACTAAGAGACGCTAAAGTTGGGATTGACTTGCTTTATTCATAGCATATGTAAATATATGTATATTAAGATGATTATTTAGACACTGCAGTATTAAAAGAGTCCTTTGTCTATTAGGATCCCAAATACATACTATGTATTTCCATGTGTGTAAATTGCATACATATTTAGCAACAAATTGCGTTCATCGTTTAAAGAATCAAACATAAAAAATTTAATTGTATATACCACTGGGCGTTAATTAAAATACATATATGCATGCATTTCTATTTATCATCATTTACAGCAATAGCAGCACATATTTTGAGTGGATTTGTTGCTTGTTCGTATCCAATAAGCTATTTCTTTTGCATACACCCGCCCATCGATTTGGTGCATGCGTAGTTCTTACAGAAATTACATCAAACACATAGTAACACACACTTTAAAGACAGCTAAGTTTAAACGGACAATGAACGTTTGTAGCGAATAAGATTGTGTTTTAATTTGGACGAACGATGCACAGAGGAGTGTTCATCCCGAAAAAATGTCAATATTAATAAATGTCTTTTTAGATTGCATGAGTTTCTTATTGTTTTAGGTTTAATTTAGTTATTTAGTTTAATTTCGCTCAATAACAATTCTGATTTAGGTTGAAATCAGTACACGTTTCCACCTAGAGTCCATATAAATGTTTCCATGAAATTGTCCTTTGCTACTCATAAAAATTTTAGTATCTTCAATTTTCTAAAGATCCCAGGTACTCCCGGGATGCAAATCTTACATACCCACTCCACGCTCGCTTACAAATGGGGAGTTAATGAAGTACTTGCAATTTCTCTTACAAAGAAGTTGTTTTATTTTTAATAATAAAAAGAGCCAGCTAGAACACGAACAAGGGACTTCGGTTTGTTAGTCAGCTGTTCTACTGACTGCTTAGCTATTTTATTGCGGGTTTAATTTTGTTTTGTTTTTTGTAAAACACAATTCTTTATGAGAGTACTTCTAAGTAATGCAGACGATAAGTAGTAGTCATTGAAAAGTAAGTGGTTATGGAAGTATCACTCATTGCCGAGTTTTTGCTGGGTAGTTCCATCAGTCATGCTTTCGAGAATAAACATTTTTAAAACAACTTATGAAAGTATTGTTTCTAACACCGAAATCATAAACAGACAGCTTTTTACAACACGCTCACGATAAAACGAAGCAATAGAATTTAACCAAATTCACCCAAAACGTTCTTCATTTTCCTATGTTGTTTGGTATTGAAAATGAGCAGAATCGGTTCACTTCGAGAAAAGTTATGAATCAAAATTTAAAAAAAAACTCCGAAAAAATAAGCATTTTTTACACATTCTGATGTAATTTTCACGAAAACTATTCCATAAAAATCATCATACGTTCGCTTCTACATGAGAGCTTGATCCTTGTTGAAAATTGGCGGAATCGGTCCACAACTTCATATACCTAGCATACAAATGTACATATTCCCGGAAAATGAGGTTATTGTTAATAACTTTCGTTAGAATCTCGATATCTTCACAAAAGTTTTATGTCAAAAGAATTCATACAGAAGAAAAAATTTCTCGATCGGTCCATAATTAGTCCTAGCTCTCATACAAGGTCTCCTTCAGAAAAACACTTAAACGCACATAACTCATTACTAAATTAAGCTTTCCATATTGTATGGATACAAATATGTATTGGCACAAATATTTCTTTTATATACAGAAATATTACTGTATATATTTTTTTCGGACCGGTCCATATTTGGTCATAGATCCCATACAAGGTCCCATTCAGAAAAATACTTAAACGCACATAACTCCTCACTAAATTAAGATATCCATACAGGATTTGTTAGATGGACAAGAAGATCATTGTATTTCTTTGGATCCGTGCGCATAGGGGCATATGAG